TCAGATACTTTAAGACTTTTACTCAAGTAATATTCCTAAAGGAGACTTTAACTTTTACCAAAGTAATTTTCTGATAAGATACTTGTACTTTTACTCAAGTATCACTTTGTGGTACTTCATACAACACTGACTGTATGTACAGTACATTATTTTCTCATCTTTTTTAGTCACTCATCACAATTTATTTTCACAATTTTTAAGTTATTAGCTTCTGCTAATTTTTACTTGTTTAAGCATGTGCTCATTTTTCAACATGGTTTAGTGTTAGCTTTATTTTTAGGTAGCAGATTACAAGTTAGCAGAGCTAACCTTTGGTTAGCTGTGGGTTCTTTGGTGTCACTGAGTCCTTGATAAAGTATTTTATGTATGGGTACACAAAATGAAAATAACACCTAATATAAATAAATAAATAAAAAACATAATAATAATAATAATAATAATAGCTGTTGTTGTGTATTTTTACAACTTTCTATGAGTTATAATACAACAATACCTACAATAATAACTGTAGTGAGTCATAGTAACAGTACAATAAAAGTTTAAATAGTTGTCAAATGTATTAGTCTCATTATCATCACTGGTTCTTAAAAGTTGATTCTCTTTGGAGGTGATAGATGAAAATAATGTGTGCATACATTTATTCACCTAAACCCCAGTGTGACAAACATTTTCAGCAGATACATGTTGGGACGTTTGAACTAGTCCTTCATTTCACCTCATGAAACTATAGTTTTAGTCAAAAGTTTTTTAACTGGCCTTGACAAAAACCATGGTACCTTTAATTTAATATTTTCTTGAGTAAGTGGTTTCTGTCTGACTTCTGCTCCTGTCCATGTGTGTTCTGGTCCACCTGTCCACAGGTGTTCATTCATAATGTGTATGTCCATGCAAAAAATGGTGTCTGTTTCAGGTACCAGGGCATTTTGAATAAGTACAAGTACCTGTAAAAATGCTGGTACAGGGCCTATCTGTATTAGAACACCACTAGTTCTGGGTCATGTTTGGGTGATAATAACTCTGTGTTTCAGGTCTTTATCTTGTTGGAGGACCTGTAGAGACACTGTCCTCGTCTTTCTGTGACCTCGATACCAATCAGCCCTGTGACTACCTGCCAGCCTTTAAACAGACTATTTAAGACATGCCTGACATGTCCCTGTGGTTAAATTATTTTCAGGGATTTTTTTCAAAGGGTACCATCCTGTTTGCTTAAGGCCAGTTTCAACAAATTAATTTTTCATTCTGATGCCCTAAATTTTAAAGGGATCCCCGATTAGTCGTAATATTAATCTTTATTTGATAAACATTTATTTTAACTGTAAAATAAAGACTGTAAAAATACTGTAGGATGTTCAGTTTTGTAAATTTTTTTAAATATATTTTAACATGGATGGAGCCATTTTATTTAGACACAAAGCATTCTGGGTAAATGATGACATCAACTAGGTCCTCGGTGTGAGGCTGCTAGCGAGCTATATCCA